AGGGAAGGGGAGGGAAGGGAAGGGAGGGGAGGGGAAGGGAAGGGAAGGGAGGGGAGGGGAAGGGAACACTGCATGAACCTGTGCCCCATTGTGCCTCCTCTTAAGAAAACCCTCAGGTTGGGGATTTAGCTCAGTGGTAGAGCACTTGCCTAGCAAGCACAAGGCCCTGGGTTCGGTCCTCAGCTCTGAAAAAAAAAAAGACAAGAAAAGAAAACCCTCAATGATCCCTTAGGGCAGTGTTTCTCAACCCATGGGTCATGATTCCTTGGGAGGTCAAATGACCCTTTCACAGGGGTCACATATCAGATGTCCTGCATATCAGATATTTGCATTATGATTCATAACAGTAGCAAAATCACAGTTATTAAGTAGCAATGAAAATAATTTTTTGGTTGGGGGTCACCACAAGACGAGGAACTTTATTAAAGGGGCCACAGGAAGGTTGAGAACCACTGTCTTAGGGCCATCTCCATGCAGCTCAGATTGTGGTTACGCACCAGCAGCTGAGTCTGTTGCAAACTGATGAAGTGCTGAACTGATGATCTTGAGGCTCAATTCCCTCCACCGGCTCTAATTCACTCTCACCCTGTTTTGCTTAAATCCCTCCTCAAGAGAAGCGTACACCAGTGCTATGACGTAAGTCACATCTGTAGAAGCCGAGCCAACTGTAAGGACCCCAATCAGCTACAGTTTAGATGTAGGTGATGGATGGTGCTAGATGTTCAGATGCCATGTCTCAGAGCACAGCAGCACTGGGGAAAGCAGGAGTTCAGGGGACCCAAACACAACATAATGGAAAGCTAGAGCTACCACAGTAGTTGGATGTCATTGGCACATAGACTCAACCAATCCCAAAACCACCTGCTGACCTCTACTTGAACTCTCCACTTGCAATTATACACGGAACTTGGGTGTTCTAAAAGCACTGAAAATGGAAGAGAAAAAGGTCCCAACCATCAGGGAGAGCAGGGTCCAAAAGAATTCTTCTACTTGTCAACACTAGAAAACTGAAGGAAACATAGTTAGACACTGGATACTAGGTAGCACCAGGCCATACTTGATGTGAGATAGGGAACAAATGATATGAGAGCTCCTCCCCTTCCTGGGAGCAGATTCTGGACCTCAGGAGAGAAGCAGGATCCAAACAGAGCCAAGCAATCTCATGAAGTTGAGGAGAACAAAAGAGAAGTTCAGGGTGGCCAAGGCAGCTAGTCTTTGCAGAAGTGAGAACTATGAAACTTCTGGAGATGAGAGAGGTATGCCGGCACTGGGTTCCACAGGTTTGCAGAGTCTAAAGAGAATTCCTGTCCGTGGAGGTGTATCTCAGTTGGTAGAAGGCTTATCTACCTCAGCACCACATACAAACCAGGCGTGGTGGTTCACACCTGTGATCTCAGCACACAGAAGATCAGAAGTTCAAGGTTGCCCTCAGTTACATAGAGAACCTAAGGCCAGACTAGACCACATGAGACTATCTCAAAAAAAATAAATAAATAAGTGAAAAGAATTTCTAGGGCCAGTGAGATACCTCAGTAGGTAAAAGCACTCGCCACAAAAACCTGACAACATGGATTCTGTCCCTAGAACCCACTATGGAAGTAGTAAACTGACTCCTGAAAGTTATGTTTTGATCTCTATATGCACATACAGAGAGAGAGAGAGAGAGAGAGAGAGAGAGAGAGAGAGAGAGAGAGAGAATAGAATTAAATTTTAAAAGAATTCCTTAGAATTCAGTAAACAGAACTCAGGCACCCCCAATTTAAATGTACCCAAAAATACATAAATACAGGCTTTACCATAGAAGATACAGGAATGGGTGGTAAGCATTTGATAATGATCAACCTCAATAGTCATGAGGAAAATGTCGGTTCCCACCCATACAAACAGCTAACACGTAAAATTCTGGATTCTATGCAGTCACCTTGAGACTCTACAGGATCTTCACCAGCATGAAGACTCTCACCAGATGTGACCTCTTGACTTTGGACTTCCTGCTACTCCATGTGACCAAGATGCAGCCAGAAGGCTGAGGCTCAGCTAGTGCAACCGATCCACACAGGACTTTGACTCGGGACCCAGTGACTTGAAAATGGAGCCCACCAGAGTACTCCCCCATGGTGAGGGGTCCACAGCTAATCTGTAGACCCCAGTGTCTTCACCAGACTAGTTGTAGATCACAGTACTCAAGCTGAGTTTTCTCTATAATTCTCCTAACTATACCCAAAGGACTATCAATAAATTTGTTCCCTCCTTGAAAAATAAATTAAGACTGACCACACCAACGTGCTGAAGAGAAGAAACAGAAATCCAGTTCTGGCAAAAACCTAAGTTTATAGCCATTTATTAGCAATGGCAACAATAGTGAGCCGGAGCAAACCTTTGCACTTTGTAAGTTGCCTAACCTCAGGTATTTGTTACAGTGACAGGAAGCTGACTAACATACAGAGTTCCAAAACAGAATACCAAGAACTAGATAGCTTGCTCAACAGAAAAGCGCTTTCTCACCGTGCTAGAGGCTGAAAGTCCATTAT